CCCGGAACTCCGGGAAATCGGAGCTAGCATTGCCCTCAGTCCCAATGTAAGATCTACAGTCAAGATACGAAAAAGTTGATGAGACTTTACATTGCCAGCTGCTAACCGTCAGATCACAGGGCCTACGAACACTTGAAAAATTGGGAGTAGATTCTGCTCTGACTGACGAAATTGGTTTCCGCGGCCCGAGTGGAATACCGCACTTCTATAGGTATAGTATCTCTATCTAATTGCATAATTTTAATGAATTCCCCTAATCATGTGATGAATAAGGCATTGGAAAACGAATGAAGTGGTATCAGTCGATACCTTTGCCAATGTGCCTGATCGACGCCATCAGACGACACGATTCCACAGAGGGCACATTCATGCGGCCCTGCAGGAGCACGTACCAAAGCAATGGATTCATCTGAATAAGAAGATATCTCACGCTGAAGCCAATGATGAGGGTGTTGTTCTCTTCTTCGAAGACGGCACCAGTGCCCATGGAGACATTTTGATAGGAGCAGATGGAATTCGATCAGTAAGCTACTGGTTTGACGCTGTCTAGTTATTCTGCATGCTAATATTTCCAATAGAAAGTCAGAGCCGCATTCTATCCTAATTACAAGCTGAGGTTCAGCGGGAAAGTATTCATGAGATCTACGTTTGACGCATCGCTGGTCGAGGGCAAAGTGCCTGATTTGCCAGCTGACGCTGCTCACTGGGTAGGCTATAACATTTTCCCTCTATCGACGATGAACTCTGCTGACTATTCACCAGTGGGGAACTAAAGACACATTCTTTTCCTCAAGACTCGGTAATAATATTGGATCAACCCTTTCCGATGAAGAGAATGCACGGCTGACTCTGTACAAGGCAAGGGTTTATACACGGTCGTTGGTGCTTACGATGATGGACGCAGTGCCGAAGAATTAGAAAAGTCAATTACATGGGACCAGGCCGGCAATGTCCAATTCTTGAGAGAGAAATACAAGGTTCGAGCTTGATTGGAGTGGGTTCTTTGCATCATGGAAACTAACAGCATCAACAGGATTGGCACCCCGTCATTAAAGCTCTTACGGAGCTGACACCACATGCCCGTCTTTATCCCAACTACGCGGGCGATGCGCTACCCTCTTGGATTCCTAATTCACGCGTCACTCTAGTAGGTGATGCAGCTCACACTCATGGAGGCTCTTTCGCCGCAGGTGGCTCATTGGCTCTCGACGATTCCCTCGCACTCGGACTGGCCTTTAAGCAGATCTTTTCATCCGGCAAACCAAATCTTCCATTTTCCCAAGAAAACATTCGACGAGCATTTAGCTTGTATGATCAAACAAGAAGACCACACACGGCTCGCCTGTTAAGCATCGTCCATGGCTTGATAAGTCGCAAGGCACCGACGTATGAGACACCCGAGGAAGCAGACGAGGCGCTCCGAACCAGAATGAGAAGCCGACCAGATCTGCAGTGGCTCTCTGAGCATGATGTAGAAAAGGCCTTTGAGCAAGTGGTTAAAAGCTCTGGGGGAAAAACTGCAAGCGCAGAAGAAGAGTCAAAGGTTTTGAGGTCAGACCCTCTGCCAGATAATGCGATTACATTCCGTGCCAGCAAGTTATAAACACCCGCACAACCAGAGACGTTAGACGAATAGAATATACGGAAGTTTATTCCATAGATTCAAAAGCTAGCTACAAATCAACATAGCTATAATAGCATAGAATACAAAATGTTCTTGACGTGATAATACATTATCTTTTTTCTTTACCCGCACTAACCATTATGATGGTCTCCTTCTAGACTTGCAAAGTCCAACATACTTACTCCAACGGTAGGAAATAGCGTACCATTGTCATATGCATCAAACCAAAGTGTTCTTGGAGATAAAAAATTTCCAATGTCGCTGACCATGCTCTGATTTTGCAGTGACGGATCATCGCAGTCGTATCTGATTTCTCCCAAAGCTTCATTTTCTGTGTGGCTATTAACCATGGCGCTGCTGTCGGTTGCTGGCGGAGTCGGTTGGCTGAGAGCTACAGGTTCTGATTCCCAGACTCTGTGCCACTGAGCCACATCTCCAGAGTTCCCGTTGGTAATCTTTGCGTCTTTCATTGTGATCTCTCCATCGAGGCGGCCAAATAACCTTCCGATAAGGTCGTTATTGTATTCCATCCTCTTTTGCTGCTGTAGTTCCAAGAAGGTATCGCAAGCACTAATCAACTTCTCTATGATTCCCAGATAACGCTTTGTCACTGGGTCATGGACACTGAATTTTTCCAACACCTTACAAGCATCTCCCAATCGCTTTCTTCGTAATGGCACGGAGCCTTCCAGATCACTGAAAAGAGCAACCCCAATGATGAGTGATGCTGCAAATGCCGAATTCACGACGAAGGGCAGCCTCTTCGGTGTCAACTTGTTGGTTAATAGTGGCTGAAAGAGATCGATGGTACGAACGGCTGAGTCGACACATACTTGAGCAAGAATGTTGCGTGAGGGGGACAAAGAGGATGTGGGTTGACTTGGGGTGGAAGACGAATCTCTCTCTTCAGGCGGCGATGACGACGAAATATAATCGATTAAAAAGGGTCGAGATAACAGCATGATAGTCCAGTAATATGCCTCTTTCAGATGAATGAGCCCGAGATTTGGCCCAGTCCCAGCTTCTGTTTGTACTTCGTCGCGAGGAGGAATGTTGTCCACTCTCAGACCTCCACCGAATCTAGTCGCCCAGCCACGATGAAGCTCGCTGATTTTCTTGAGACATTCTGTTGTGATCATTCTCTTTGCATAGACTTCAGTTAATATGTTCTCGAAAATGTATGACAAGTCATTCATGGCTGAGTAGTGCTCCTTCGATGCAGTATCGCGAGTTTCCAGTGTGGCCGGCGGTCTGCCAAGTGATGCACTCATGAACAAATCAAGAGTTCTGATGCCCTTCCATAGGCGCTCTCTTGTCATGTATTCGGTTGCATCATACAATGCAGAAACATCTTCTCTGTGAAGTCCCAGTGCATAAGCTCCACGTACAGCTATACCCAAGTACATAAAGGCGGCGTTCCTGCGTGATTGGGCTAGAAGGTACATGGCAATAAGAACGTGGCATTGAGTGGTGGCAATGCTTGGATCATCCATAAGAGTTGCCAATGTCACATATCTTCCATAGTTAAAATGTCGCTCGGCTCTCTCGTCGTAGTCGTCGGGACACGCCTGGGCACCAATGGCCAGTATCAACGAATACGTGGCACTGATTGCATCAACGGGCTCTTGAGGTAAACGTAGCCACTCAAGGATATCGTCACATATTTTGGCGTCGTCGAAAAGCTGGAGAATGGAGTGTGTGGCTTGCCGGTACCAGTACACAAATGATTTTGCTTCGTCCTCAGTCGGTCTAGGTGGTGGCTCTGTCCCATGATGGAGGATCGAATTATGACCTTTGCTTGGACATGCCTCAACCATGTAGTGCCGCATTGGATCATCGACGAAGATACAATCTCCCACACGATCGCGAACAATGCGACGGATATTCTGGAGAAAGCTGTGGTTGGCAGAGTCGCCGATGAACATGAATGTGCCTCTATCATCTTTGATCAACCTCGAAAGATGAGGAAACCGTAGTGCCATCTCATGCTGAAATCCGTGCGATTGCTCATTGTTATGGTCTGGCAGCGCACTGCTTCGAGTTTCGATAGTTGTACACCGTGGATCCGACAGTTCAGACAGTGGACTTGGCAGCGCTGAGGCCATGAAAGGAGATTGTCGACGAAGACATAAACTGCACTCGGAGACGACTCCTCTCTCTACACACCGTCGGCATGGTTGTCGTCCGTCGCAGCGCTCTTTGCGCCGCTTGCAGTTTGTGCATGCTCTGGCACATCGTCGCCGGTCACTATCTTTGACCTTTTTCGTAGGCATTCTCGTACTGTCGCACGTATATGAGGGACCTGTCGGGTATGGACTGGTATGAAGCCGACAATGGGTGATAAGCGACGGCCAATTGCCGACGCCGAATCGAACTGCAGTAAGAAGGGGTCGGAAAGAAACCCGGTTCGGATCGTATTTCAAGATTACTTGTGTAGCCGCCTCGCTTTGGCAGGATTGTTATCTTTTAGATGATGAAGATTACACAGACAGAACTCGTCCTTGCGTCAGGATTCATTCGATTGTCAAATCCCTCGCTTGGCGACGCCTGGCTACTCTCTAGAAGCACAAGAAATGAGAAATGCGACCTGGCGGTTCCTCCGGCTGGGATACCGCGCGGGAATTGGATCCCACGCAACAATTATTGCCCAGTTTGCCCAGCTACTCCGTGCTGTAGCCACCGAAGGCTTACGCTAAGCTGACTACCATGTCATTGCCACCGACTTAGGAGTACGCCAAAAGGCCACAAGCACATACAGGCAAGACTCAAGGATGGTCCGAGGATCGGATGCCGGGCGTACGCCATCCAACCCTTAGCCGATATCACGATCCGGTTAGCCCTAGCTCAATGGGATAAACCTGAAGAAACGCGGGAGACGCGGGGCGGCCACTGCGGGGGAATAACGCGGGGAAGCCTCACGGCAATCCAGCACGGGTATCCAATTTGACACTAAAGAAGAAGCCTGTTTGAGCTAGCAATGGAGAATCTGGTTAGAAACAGAAAGCTCACGGACCGGCCGACATCAAGGCGGTCCCTTGAGAGGGTCTACGACGGTTGGACGGCTAGGACGGCTACGACGGCTACGAGAGACGGTTCTCTGATTCATGGCAGTGGATTTATTGAGCTTTTAACATCTACTGTACATTTTGCCATTAATCATAGACATACAATACAAAATTAGATCACTTGAGTTCATATGTAGAAAAAGGGCGTATAATTCTTGTTGAAACGCTATTTTGTATTGCTGGACTATACGTATGCCTCTCGCTGCGTTTGCACTTTGTTAATTCAAGCGAGAGACTAATTGTAATAATTGAATGCATGTGGAATTGTGCTATATACTGCTATTCATAAAACACCAAGTCATCAAATGTTTTCAGACTTTGGTACCATTCGTCGGTGCCTCATCCGGAGCGTGCTGTTCCTTCATAAACCCTGCAAAGAAGCTGTTGACTGCAGCTGGCTTCTCCATAGACCCAACGTAAGAAACATACTGGTCTGGTCGAACAATAACAATGGATCCATCCTGAGGAATACCTAGGGCCTCATAAATATTTCCAAACCCTTCATGGTAAGAAACATCATCCACAAATATTTTGTTGTAGTCCCAACCGTCAACTTCGTCATAAGGGCGGAATACCTCTGGGAAGTCGAGAACGGTGACGCTCTGACGTGGAGCGTTGTGGATAAGAAGAACCTCGAATACTTCGTCGTATCTGGCTCTCTTGGGAGTGTAGAGGTTTAAGAAAGAATTGGGGGCGCTGAAAGCTTCCGAGACCTTCCAAAGCTTGTCCCGCTGCCGATCATCATTAGTGTTTCCGGCAAAAACTATTACTCGCCAGCGTCCGTTGCTAGGAAGCACTTCGTGAAGATGCCAGGGCCGGGCATCTGCTTGACTAAGAACTTTATGGCTCGGAATACGCATGCCGACTGTTATGCCGCTGCAAAGAGATTGGTCAGAGATGACCCGATGCTTTGCATTCGCGACGGACACGTCGGTGCCGTCACCCTGCTCTGCACTACTACCTTCTTTTGCCACAATTGCGCTTGCACCGTAGTTCACAGCTACAATAGATAACAAGTCAGCACGTATCATAGAAATAGGGCAATGGAGGTTTCCTACCAATACCACTGGCAAACATGTTGCCCTTCTCAAATGCTGCCTTGAACTCTTCCATGCTGATACCCTCTGCGTCCATGACATCTTTGGCGGGCCGACCGGAAAAGAGTCTAGAAAACTTGTGATCAAAGGCGATGAGATCTTGCGCAATGCGACGTCTTTCAGATTGGTACGTCTTCAGAATTGATCGATGGGCGTGACCCTTGACAACGCTTGCAATCTTCCAACCGAGATTGAAACCTAATGAGTGTTAAAATTTCGGTACCGTGTCGGTGACTCTAATCTTCTCTTTCTGGATCACGTACTGTCTTGCATACTGACATTCATTCCCTGTCCCGCCTTGGGGCTGTGAGAGAGTTAGCCGCTCGGTTGGTTTTCTTTTGCCCGCCATAGTAACAGCATAATCTTACCTATGAGTGTGTACCGCATCACCTGCCAAAAAGACGCGCTCGTGTACGGAGAAAGAAGTTCCAACCCGCTGGCCTATCTGGTATGCAGTCCACCAGTCAAGTTTACGGTAGGTAATCTTATAAGGCGCCAGAATCCTTTGTGCAGACTCCAGAATCATCTGAGGATTGATCTTAGATCGATCAACCCTACCCGAGTTGTCTCCATTCTTTTGTGTCGTGGTTAGCTGGATGTAAAGTCGGACGAGCTTATTTTCCCTCGGGATAACCATGATACTCCCGCAATCGGCAGAGTGAATCGCGCATCTCATTCGGATATCCGGAAAGTCCGTAATTGGTACAATATCCAAAACTCCCCAGATATAGTCGGTCGAATCGCCTTCAAGTTTTAGGCCAATCTGGTTGCGCGTCCACGAGTGTGCTCCATCAGCACCGATCATGTACTTTGTATGAATCACTTCTTCGCTATTTGCCTTTGCATTAATCTTTGAAGCATCGAGCAAGTCTTGGGTGTCGTCCTTGGCAAGGTTGCTGCGAAAAAGTCCGTCTTGTACACTCTGACCGTTGGCAGATGTTGAAGATTGCTTTGGAGTGGCCTCTTCCTCCGTGAGATGCCTCAAAGTCACAGTGATTGGATACGCGGCATCATCCTCTACCGCAGATTCGTCAATCTTGAGACTTGACGGCATCACGCCTCTCTCCACCCGAATGTCACTCGCCTCTGCGATTGAATCAAGGAAAAATCTCTCGATCCGACCCTGGTGCAAGACAACTTGCTGGAAACGGCTGATGCCAGGGATAGTGTCTGGAATGCGATCACTTCGTCTGATGATTCCATTCTCGTCTGGGTTCCAAAGACAGATTTCGAGCATATGGTTTGCTTCGCGCCATGCCCTATGCCCAAACCCTAGCGAATCAAGGATCTCAAGAGTACGGCACTGGAGACCATCTGCTTGTCCGTTGAAGATCTTGGTTCCTCGTTTGTCGACTATGCGCGCGTTGATGCCACATTTGGCCATCCATGTCGCCATCATGAGGCCCGCCGGCCCTGCTCCAACAATGAGAACATCCACGTTGCTTTCTGGAATAACGCTCATGGTGTTTACGTTGAGGTGGAAAAACTTTTGTTATGTTGATGATAACTCAATTATGAAAAGGGTAAATCGAGGCTATTAATAAAGGTTGATTGGCTTCAGAATCCTTCTCTTGTGTCACCCTCCCAGAGCATCGTCATTTATTCGTCCGACCCGAAAGCCAAGAGCCGTCGCAATCCTTCCCGTGCGCAGTTACGTACTTAGCCTTTCATTTCCTTTGATACTGTCACAAACTATCACAAACTATATTCCAATTTGGAAATTTGGATACCCAAATCTCTCTATGAACCGATATAGTTCGTCCTTTGGTATTAACTGCTTCGGATCCTGGCTTATAGTCATCGGATGCTATTCCGTTGGCCCGGCTCCTCCCCCCCCGCATTCCTACCCCGCATCCTATGAGCGAGATAATCTGATGCCGAAAATTTATTCATCTGAGTTTTGATGTCTGGACGGTGAATGAGCCTTCAACTTTATCGAATAGGCAATCCAAGAGAGTTGTTAATATATCCAAAGAACACGAAAGGGTGAAACTAAATGCTTGTCAATAGGGCTAGGGAATCATTTCCCGCTTAGTAAATGCCCCGTTGCCGAGTCACTGTATAGGTGAGAGGCCGAAGAACCGTCATCGTGAGGCTACAAAGAGACAGAGGCCATAAACTACAATCTTCATTTGAAACTAGTGTTTCGGTTAATATATAGATCGACTATTGATTATATACGTGATGTTTTGAGTATAACGAACTGAGGTGACTTGAACTGTCGCAGAGCTCGAGTCTCTGCGCCAAGAAATTACATGGAATCACTGACTGGGTATTCTGTTACCAACATTTGACAAAGCGACTCCTTAACCAACATTGGGCCGTTTATTGGTCGATTCATTTACCAGCCACTTCGCTTTCCAACTTAAGTAATAGTAAAAGACGTGACGCCCCGGACTTTGATGGCAAGGAGATTGTCCTTATTTAGTGGCGGCAGAAATTCCGGCAGATGCCCACTTACAATGCGGGGATATGGGGGATATTGGTTTACAACAATATTTGTCACTCGAACTAGCATAAACATGTGGGCTCAATCAAGCAGAGAGAGCAGAAACGCCCGGCGCTAGTAATGAGAAAACCTGGGGGCGGATCAATAACAAGCTTGAAGTGACGCGTAACCGATGGTGTATGGGACTATCTACGGAGCAAGGATGAAGCATTATGTATGAAGCTTAGAGATGATGCCTTTTCCCGATTAACGAGGTAGGACTTTCGGAGAAGTAGGTGGGAGATTGGCTTCCTGTGTGAGATAGCCATGCCGCTATGCCGTTATCCAGGGGTGGATGCAACCCCCTACCAGTATCCGAGATGTTTGATTGGGTAACAGTGCTTGCAAATCTACGAAGTTGATAATCACAATTTACTACTCTAGCTATGCACAATCTTAGCTTCAAATGTACTTACTTCCATTGGCTAGTTCACTATGGGGCCATCGGCTTTCTGGAAAAAGATGTGCGTTGTTCTCGGTCTTCGTCATAGCTATATAAAGAAAGGACCCAATCCCTCGTAATTTTCTTTGATTCAACGCTCGGCTGTGCTTTTCATCGTTGGTCTTGTCTCTTGATCATACCTCGAGGTCGCCATCATGAACCAGGTTTCGCAACAGCGCACTCTCCAAGATATCGAGAATGAGCTCGATATCACGATCCTCCCTGGGACAGAGGTGATGGTAGATGTCGGGTCACATCACTTTATCAAGTCCGGAAATGGTGGCGGAGAGGCGCGCGTCCTTGTTCCTCAGCCTTCTGACGATCCCCTTGATCCATTGAACTGGACCTACACCTGGAAGCTTATCACAATCATTTGCGCTAGCTTTGTCTCCATTAGTCAAAATCTTGGTCCTCTCGCAAATGCACCTTTATTTGGTTTGACTCCCAGGAAGCTGATATCTGAGTGTGCCCAAAAGCTAATGTCATTTGAAACAGGCCTATACATGGAAGAATGGAACGTTAGCCTAGCAGACGCCGTTCAAACAACAGGTAGGCATCGATAAGAACTATTTTAGCATATGTGGTGTTAACTATTAGTCTAGCTGTAGCGATCCTTGTTCTCGGTTTCAGCAATTTGATATGGATTCCGATCTCAACATGTTTTGGTCGAAGACCAGCCCTCATTTTCAGTACTTTGATCTGCACAGTGTCCTCGATCTGGAGAGTTCGATCAACAAGCTACAAGTCCTTTCTCGGAGCATCTGCGTAAGAAAATCCTTTCCATATGCATATATCAACTTGATGACATGATAGACTCAAAACTAATCAACTCTACCAAGTCTGAATGGTTTCGGTGCCGGTCCTTGCGAGAGTTTGATGCCACAAATAATTGCCGACATTATTTTCCTCCACGATCGCGGTAAATACCAGACATTATACTTTGCTATCTACTTTGGGTCTCTCTCTGTAGGTTACCAAGACAGTCCACAACCATCCATCTACTAATGTGGCTCCTCAGATCGGCCCCATCATTGCTGGCAGCATGGCAGAACGATTTGGATGGCGGAGCTTCTGGTGGCTAAATACAGGGTAAAGAGCAGTTCTAACTGTAATCCATGGCTACAAGATATGTAAAGACACTGACACTAAAGTTGAAAGGTTGCTCATCTTTACTCTACTTCTCAACATCACCTTACTTCCAGAGACGCGTTTTGCGCGGAAAACAGAAAATAAGACAGTGTCAGAGCCTGCTCCACTTGTTGACGAACCTGAAATTAAAGGCGGTTCCGTTGTCGATCACTCAGAGGATGCCTCTGGTCAGGAACCTCAAGACAAATGGCTATCGCGTGGACATCCATCTCTGAAGCAATTCAACCTCTGGGGACCTTACCAGGGAAGTATTTTGCAAGAGTTGTGGCTTCCATGGTATCTCCATGCCTTCCCAATTGTTGAATTCGCCGCCTTTGCTGTCTCCTTCTCGGCATCCGGCTTTTTGGTGGCCAACTTGACCCAGCAGCAGTTTTTTGGAGCACCACCTTACAACTTTTCGACCCAATCAGTGGGCTTTACCAACTTTGCCATTTTTACGGGCAGCATGATTGGGCTACTGACATCAGGCCCATTATCAGACTGGGTTGCGAATTACTTCACCAAGCGCAACAGGGGCATCAGAGAGCCGGAAATGCGATTGATCACAATGCTGCCTTACACTTTGATCATGATCATTGGGCTTGTTGTGGTCGGTGTTGGTTATAGCCAGCTATGGTCATGGAAAGTCATTGTTATTATCGGCTACACTTGCCTCGGAATGCAAGTGACAAGTTTGCCCAGTATCGCGTCCACTTACGCTATTGACAGCTACAAACCAGCCACGGGCGCTATTTTCGTTACAATTACCATGTGAGTCACTAATCAACTCTTACCGATGCGCTCATAGCTAACTTTGAACAAAGTAACAAGAATCTGTGGGGCTATGGTTTCGGCAAGTTCATCACACCTTGGACAGAACAGATTGGGTACCTCGCACCACTCATGACACTCATGACCTTGATCACATTCTTCTGCAGCTTCGGTATTCTATTTTGGTTTTGTGGTAAATACTTCCGAGGCTTGACGAAGAATTCGTTCCTACACAAACTAGACAGTTAAAGCCTAGGACTGCGGCAAATTAGTAATTCATCGATACTTGAAGTCTTGAGCTTGTTTCGCTGCATATCGTGACATTTTAGAATACTGGCCTAAGTAATAGATACCCAGTCTCTTCGTATATACTACTATAGCTATATTCCTCTAATGCCTACTACTACAATCCCAGAGGCCATATTCATCTAGCAGTTGCTACTATAGCTATATTCGTATGGTATGTGATGTTATCAGTACCACACAATTTGCGACGTAGAGGGCTAGCTAGCAAGACGAGAGAGCTTAATAGACATTCTTATCAGCTATTAGGTTATGGCAATACCTAATCTTCCAAGACCTCGCCCATATGCCAAAGCTTCGTAAGTTCACTCTTAGTTACATCCCAGTCCACATCAGCCCATCGTGCTTCCAATACCTGTCGATTCTCTTTCAATTTCCCAACAAGTTTATCCCAGTCCACCCTGAGCAATTTGCCGTCTCGCTTTACAATTTCCCCATTGATCATCACAGTACTCACATCCGTTGGGTGGCAATGCATAACCATGGCGGGACCGTAATTGACCGACGAGACCATGGAGGGAGAATCTGTTCGGATCAAGACGATATCTGCCAGTTTACCAACTTCCAGGCTTCCAATCTCCTTTTCCCGGTGGATTGCATGTGCACCACCTAAAGTGGCCATGTATAAGACTTCATCCACTCGAGATTTAACTTCTTTTGGTAGCTTGTTCCTGGCGTGGTATGTCGCATTTTCCCGTGCCCTTTGGCTCTGTAGGGCTATTCTCATGCAGAAAAACATATCCCCGCCGCAAATTGCTGGGGAATCTATGCCGAGGCCTATACGACAACCTGATCGAAGGAATTCGAAAGCAGACGGAACGCCGTGGCTCATTGCCAGCTCGGATTCCGGAGTAGATATAATTCCAATATCATTGCGTCTTACGAAATCAATCCTGGTTTGATCAGGTTCGCAGGTGTGGGACAAGGTCATGGGCGGTAAAGGCAAAGCGTTCTTTCTCAGGAATTCGAGCGATGGAAGATTAAATCGGTCAACATCGTGGCATGTGACATGAATGCCGTTATCCTTTGCATACTGAAGGACTTCACGAGACTCTCCCACAGGTCTATGGTTCATAGTATCAAAACCTAGACCAAGCATCACTCGTCCATCATTCTTAGGCCCGCCTAGCGGAGTTTGTCGCGATAGAGACTTGAAGAGCTCTATCTGCTCAGGATGCTTAATATCCATATCCGGCAGAACCATTGGGTTTAACGACTGAGGGTTGGCGAAGGGTGCAACGCAATATATACTTCGAATACCAGATTCCACTGTCGCATCGATGCACTTTGTTGCATAATCCCTCGACATGATCACGTGTGAATGGTCCATGACTGTAGTGACGCCACACCATATGGCCTCTGACGCTCCAGATAGTTGCGCAAGATACATATCATCGGCATCGAGAAACGTCATACGGCCTTGCAAAAGGTGGGCACAGTAGTCGAGAAAGATGTGATCCCCGACTGTAGTCCTGAGTTGAGACTGGAATACATGTCGGTGGCCATCAATGAAGCCGGGAGACACAATATGGTCCGTCGCATCAATGATCTCGAGAGTTAGATCCTTAAAGTCTAGATCCGGCCCAATTTTGGAGATGATATTATCCTCAACAAGGATATCGAGCTTTGGAAATGATGTCCTCTTTTTCTCATTAAAGAGGAGGACATTGCCACCCTTGATAAGATATTTCGGCATGATCCAATAACGCAGGTGGTAAATGCGAAGAGAAGAAAACCTGTGGCGAATTCTGGTACAGAGTGAAAAAAAATCCGAAGCGCTCCAGCTCCAGCTCAATATATATAGCAGTTTTAAAAACGTATTTACTATGTCATGGTACATTCTCGGTCAATTATCGCTCTGGTTGATGATGCCAATGATCCGGATGTGGCTTGACAGGCGGCCGCCATTTTCGGGTTATTTTCGCCACAATGATTGAGCGAAACATTAAGTTGAGATAGCACTCGGGTACTATTCCATTGGCATTTGGTTTTGCAATATATGGTCTTAGATTGGAAGTTTGTCATATTTCCTTCAACAGAATATTCGATTGTAGTTAAACAAGAGCAGTACTCAGTGTTCTCTTACGATCGTTTCTGGTCTATTACTAAAGTAAATAAAAAATATATTTTATAATTAATAAATGTAATATTTTATAACTGTTTTGGTCGTTATATTCTTGATAGTTAAATTTACTAAGTTAAGTATAATTCAAGTTCATTATATTAAATAGAAACCAACAACACACAGTCAGCTGGAATCCTAAACCATTCTTCTATTGACCCCTCCGTCTCTAATATACTTGCAGCCTCGGCTGCTAGAGGCTCATCGTATCTGTTACTTAATACTTCTAATATACTAATTGCATCCAATCTCACGGATGCTGGCGCAGACTCTAAAGAGCCAATTGACAAAAGTGGCCAGATAAGAAAACGCACTGAATGAGCTAAAGGCGCCCCAGAAACCTCAAGAGAAGATGGAACCGATGATATTATGTCATCGATTATCCTCACAATACTTAGAGCAGCGGTATCAGGTAATCCTCGCCACCTTTCCCATCGAGAGTCTCTCTGCTCAGGTTCGTCCCCATCTGCGAGGCAAGCATATGCATGACACACCCAATCGTTGACGAACAATCGTAGCATACGAAGCACGTTCCATCGCCGTGTATCCAGAGAGGAGCAATATTGGTGCCTCGGCTTATTATAAGAACCCCATGCGTCGTCGGTTTGTTCTGAACCTTGTTTAACGATACTGTAAGGCGATGTAAGGAAGAGCTGATCCATAAGGTGTGCCAACTCATTGTCAAGATCAAAAGACTGGACGATGCATTCTACTCGTGTTAAAGTATAAAGGCGCGCCTTGATAGCCACAAATCTATCCAGTATCGGTCCTAATTGATGGCTGAGAGTAGACTTATTTAGCACGGTTGAAGCGTATTCTTGCAAGCGAATCAAAGCGAGAGGTACAGGTGTCGAACGCTGAGCACAGCTAGTTCGAATATTCGTAGCGGCGTGTAAAAAAAGATGTATTCCAAGGGGACTGTCCAGCTGTTTTTTGCCCCTGAGTGTTAGAAGCGTGGTGGTACCCTGGATATGTGCTGTCCAATTGGTCGCTGACCTTTGTTCACCGAACATGACTCCTTCGAAAGCACTAAGAAGAAGAACAGAGAGCAGCGTATAATCCAGTGTAGTGTTGTTCACGCTGCTTAGGGCATTGTTTGTAAGCAACAGCGCCTGGGTGTAGCAACTACGTGCTGCTATGCGCATACCTGGTTGTTTACAATCCAATGATAGTGCGGCCAGAGACAAAGCTTGCATCGAAAGCTCAAGAGGGCTTCCCTCTTTAACCAGGTCACCCCAGTGTTTTGGGAGGTAGTGGAAAGCACTCGATGGACTAAATAACATCATAAAGTAGCTTGTAGCTAGATCCTCAAGATGAGTAAGCATAGGGGCTGGGGGCACGGGGGTTGTCGCAGTGCTCCAAGTCCATAGGTGCTCATCCGCGTTTAGATTTGTGGCCATATCTCTTGAGACAGCCACGTTAACAATGTCAGAGGTCTTGTGTTCGCCTACAGCTTTCTGTAGTGTCCGATTTGGAATTCTCCTCTTCTGCTCCTTTTGAATTACCATGGTTGTCTGATCTCGGACAGCGAGTGATTTGGTATCTCGATAGCCATGACAAGTAATCCCAAGATTAATGCATGAGCTACACATTGGACGTACAAGATTGCACTAGAAACAGCTGATGTTAGCTACAGAAGTATCCACCGAATATGATATCTCTAGATGTAAATGCAAGCACTCCACTTACTTTACGTCTCTTTACTCTGCAGGGCTTACAAGCCTCCGAGATCTTCCCGCAAAATACAATCACCCTGCGCAGCAGATAAGCACCGCTACTGATCACTGAGAGGGTTGAAAACTAAATGACCACGAGATTATGAGCTTTTGCAGAATTAAGACGCAAACAATTGTTAGCTTGTTAGGACCGGGTACTAGATATATAATAGACATGTAGTTCGACTGGTGGATCCGGATGTCTGGGATGATTAGATTTTAGCATCGAGAAGCATGCCTTAACTATCCTAGTGGCGTTAGTAGTAAGAACGCTATACCCATTAAACCTAGCGTATATTCTAGGCGATTACTGATCTTTCCCATTAGAATTAGAGTCCGATAATAAGCCAGAACAGGGACGAATGTCGACACTCGTAAAACATTTACTAATTTTGTTGTACGCAAGGAGCTTACGTAGTTTTCAAGCCCAATATACCGGAGATAGCCGTTAGTGCACGGACTTATATGCTACGTATTCAACGCGTCAGGCTTGAGTACTAAGCAATAATTACTTTTAACACATCCTGTTGGAATAATAGGGCTATGCAATGTAGAGTTTGAACAAGTTGATCAAATACTGTAGGATACGCCTATATATGTTGCTAAGATCCTGATATTATTATCTCAGGCGTTTTGTTACTCTATATCCTTCCTACATTCACAATGCGACCAGGCACATTTTTCGCCATATTTAGTCTTTTATCTCTCTCCAGAGCTACGCCATCTGTTCGTCTTCTCAATGGCACAATAACTGGCTCTCGGTGTGCCTATTCAGAAGCCAACTTCTATCTCGCCATTCCGTACGCAAGGCCGCCAATAGGAGAATTTCGATTTGCCGCTCCTAGTATATTCAACGCCAAATATGGGGATGATGGCAGTCTTAATGCCACTTTGCCGGCTGCAAGCTGTCCTCAGTTTGGATCGTCGTCTTTTGCAGAATCAGGAGTGCAGTCGGAAGATTGGTATTTTATGATTCTATATTTTGTGCTTCTATGTCAGGATTGTCCTAATCAGACTCTTTTAGTTTGACTTTGGATGTATATGTGCCTCCTTGTGCATCAATTCAATCCAAATTACCTGTGAAGGTGCGGCTCTACGGTGGATTTAATGAAGCAGGAGGCATTTCGGATGCAACATACAATGGATGCTTCTCTGCCAAAGACTCAATTGTTGTGACAGTTAACTACCGACTTGGGCCACTTGGCTACCTCTCAGTTAAGAAAGCTGGCCTCATGGGTAATTATGGCCTCCAAGACCAACTCCTTGCATTAAAATGGGTACAATCCAATATAAATGCTTTTGGAGGTGATCCAAACAAGATCTTGCTGTTCGGCCAATCCGCAGGAGCACCTGACACTTTCGCTCTTGGCACGATCAGAGAGATTGAATCAATAATATCTGCTGCTGCTATTCAGTCCGGTGGTAGCCGAACTTTGCCAACAATTGACGAAGCTGAAAACTTTACTTCAAAGTTTGTTGAATTGCTTAATTGTACCGTCTTTGATGCGCAATGCATCAGGGAAGTGCGCCTTCAACGACTAAACGAAGCGTTTTCCTCCCTGGTATCGTCAAGACCCAATGTGCCTGCCTGCCCTTGATACAAACCAACAAAACAATGGTTTCGGGTACGGGTGGGGTCCAGTGGTCGATGGAACATTCATTGAAGAACAGCCTGAGAAGATTGGTATGCGAGTGCCCAGTATTATCGGCAATAATGCGAACGACGGGACGCTCTTCGTGCTTGCTCAGTATGGGGCAGCCTTGACTAATATTACCGAGTCCCAGTATCAAGAATTTCTCCTGTACAGCTTCGGAACACTTGCTTCAAACGTCAGTACACGTTATCCACTATCCAAATATAACTCCAGCGTTATTTCACCCGGGTTCTCCGCAATGTCAGATATCATCACGGACTATGGATACAGGTGCCCAACGTTCCGGGCGCTGAAAGCTACAGAAGCCAGAGGTGTAAACGTATGGGCCTACAACTTCAATCATACACCCACTTGCTCATGGTATCAAGCTATTCCAAACGATCCTGAGATACTGCAGCTACTAGGACCAACTCATACCGCGGAAATCCCGTATGTCTTCGGACTCACGAATCATCTACCGCTGAGTGGATCGCCTAGTAGCAGGAGCGGCAATGGAAATTGTAGCTTTGATAATGCCGAAATAGTTATATCACAGTTTATGGAACACGCTTGGACAACCATGGCAAACGACAAAAGACCTACCCTCACACATGTTTGGCCAAAATGGAACAGGAACTCTTATACAGGTATTCAGATTAAAGATTTGATTGAGATATCTGAAATGGATTATAGGAATTGCGCTTTCTGGGATAATATTAGTGGTAGAGTATAAGAGAGTATATAGCATAATTATTACGATTCAATTTAACAAAGGTATAAAGGAGAAGTACCTAGATGTGACAAGCTGAGCTCCTATAGGTTAGTATAAGAGGGATTCCCAAGGGACAAACGTTGTACTAGGTTTATGTTGGCGGATAGGCCAGGCTGGACTTGGCAGGCAACCAACAAGGATAAGAGGGGTTTGTTCACACAACAAGTAGATGATACTCTTCGTAATATAATCAAGCGTTGTTCTGTATTCACAACTGGCTATCTAACTATTCTAAACGAGCGTGGAGAAGGTAAGTTATATATCCAGCTGTGCTGGTGAGGTCGTCTGTGATTGTGTCGACCGAGGATGACTTGAGTCGTGTGTAGTTGTGTCGATTGGACAGTACTTTGATCCCATTGGTTGGATTAACCGGGGTTGAGCCGAGTGCTGCCTACATGTACCCTGGAGGCTTGTCGTCGCGACCATAAGTGTTGGGTCGTGACATCTAAGCTGTAAATTGTTTTGCCCATAAAGTATCGTCCTATGTCAATAGGAAAACTTTAACAATTAGGTACATGGGTTGATCCCATTGACGTCGTTGCTATAGTTATTACAGGTGTATCTCCCCGTGACCTCAGTCAAACCCAATCCATCGTCATCAAGGCAGTTATAAGTTTGGCCGTTGTTTTGATAGCAGTAGCCGAGTTGGTCGCCATTTCCATTGTTTTGGTAGTAAACATAGGTGCCGGCATCCTGTCCAGCATAAAAGTTGAGCGTGACTCCACACGCTACGGATTGAAAGTAGCTAGGCGGAGGATACGATCCGGCATCTCGAGCGCTATCAAATTGGACGCATCCTGGCTCGTCTCCGTCCTGAGACACCAACATCAAGTCGTTGACAGATCCCACGCAACCACCGGATTCACCCGTTGAAACGCATCCGTCCTCCATAAGGGCTTCCAACAACCAAAAATTGTAGGCTGAGACTTGAAGGGTTGTTGTACCCATGAGGGTTAAGAGAGGCATAGACATGCGCATCTTAAAGATAGAGATTCACAAAAGCCTGTTGTTACTTTAGTTTTCGGTTTAAGACAATAGAGATAGGCTTCTCAGAGCTATTTTGCTCTTTTTTAACAAATGATGAACAGGCGAGATAGGTAGTGGAAAGATTAGTTGCGAATATTCTAGGAACAGGTCTGAGGTTAGTTTCTTTTATAGCAAATGCATCTGTTTTAGATCTATTTCTTATCAAGTAAGAACTATTTGACAAAGTCTGTACCAGTATATCAAACTCCATAACCTTACTCTTTACGGAAATTATATCAAGCATTCTAGTAATCAATAAAATTAGGGACCCTCCATTGCATCCGCTTTAATATCACAAGACTCTTAGGCAAGGATATTCAGTTAATAGTCATGTGTTGAGAGTATCAAAAAATTGCCATAATCAAAAAGGAAACTTACCACAGGTCTACTGTAACTTGATACTTCGCATCGGTTACTTAAATAGGCAGGCTTAATTAAGGCGCAAATAGTAAACTAAAATCTGATAGCTTTAGTATCTAAGAGGATAGCCCTGTTCGGAGAGAATTCGGACATTGAAGATCTCTTGTGTATGCCTGAAAAATCTTTTGCGCCGATTTGCGCCGATTTGCGCCCGTTCGTGGTTATTGTCGTGTGAATTATATTGTCTGATGCGTTGTCTTCGTGTGTAGGCGGGGTTAGGGATGACGTCCCCTTGGTTGCGTTGTTCACATGTTTGTTTGTTCGCACAATTTTTGGTGTGGAACCCGCGGCTGCTGCTGTTGTTTGGTTGGGCATGTTTCAAGCAGAAATGTTGACGGATGTTTCGGCAAAGGGGTCGTTGACGGTAATGACGAGGGTCTAAGCGGTGAGTCGTCTATAGAGAAAGCAGGGATCCAAGAGGATAAGTAAGCAAAAATAATTTCAATCGAGATTTAATGATACGAAATAACTCATTGAAATTGTTTTTGTACTCAAAATCCACTAATATTGGTTTCTATAACGTATATATAAACTATATTACATCCTCCTCAAATTTACATCTTAGTTTCCTTACGATATTGCCTTTTAACATTCTTTTTTTTTTTCATTATTATTTGACACAACATCTTCTATCATGCGTTCAATATTCATAGCAAGTATTGGATTCTCTATATTCAACGTGGTCTCTGCCGCGCAAGCCAATTTGTAAGTGATAGTTTTTCTCTCTCCGCCAGATTGTAAAACTCAACTTAATCTATAGCTATTGGGATTTTTACTGCCAGGAATATGCCGGTAGTGTAGACCCAGCAATTGGCCAAGTTACAGGTGGTCCTTATGGCTCTCGAAGTGCCCTATGGGTCGACGCAGATTCTGAAACTAGCTTCTGTACAGGTGCCTCAGCAGGTATAATAACTCCGGATAGTCTATGATCTACATTATGCTAATAATACATTATGCAGAGCTTTATGTCGGCCCTGAGGGCTATAGCATGACACAAGTCAATATTGGAGAATGTGAACATGATGATCAAGGAATCTATGTTGTAGCCTATTGTGGCTAAACATCTGTTGAAATCACCGTCAATCTGTCAAAACACTGCTGCTTTATACTGGCCCGCCTGTGAAAGGGCTGTAGATTGATATACGTGGAAGTAAAGTTTTTTGGTGTTGTTAAGCTAATAGACTCGTGTCAATCATAAGGCGCAGTGTTATGTGCCACTTGGCGATACATATTAAGAGATTGTTATAAAGTGTTGATTAATCACTATTTTTATTGAACTTTTTTAGTACAAGCTAATCCAGCGGTGAGAGTAACTATCCAACCCAGTATATTGACCTTCTGCCCGGGGCTATAGTAGATGATGCTTCCTATTGCATACCTGTCACGACCCAACACTTATGGTCGCAACAATCGGCCTCCTGGGTAAGCAACACCCAGTTCAACCTTGGGTAACTCAACCAATGGGATCAAAGTCGTGCTTAGTCAACACGACTACACACGACTTGAGTTGTGCTTAGTTAACACGACCATACACGACTTGACTCGCCCTCAGTCAATACAACTACGGACGACTTGACCTAGCCCTTATTCTGCAGCGAAACCGTAGTATGGCTTGCTGAAGGCGTAGCCTGTGCGCGGCAGTGCTAGGCGGAAAGCAGGTATAGTAGGTATAGCAGGTGTAACAGGGGGGGTATGGCTTAACGTAAGTATGGCTTAACAAACGATTTATACAATAGCGTAAGTATATATAGAGAAGGGTGTGGGGGTGTGGGGGGCGGCCTAGGAGCCTTAGGCCTCTAGTAGGTTAGGGTCAAGTTAATATATTTATAATACAAAGTAGTAGCAGCTAAAGGGTAGTAGTAGGGGTATAGTAATGGTAGTAAAGTTAAGTTAAGAAGTAAAATATATAAAGGGAAATAAAGGTAATATTTATATAATATTTTGGTATAATACTTTATATTTTATTTTTTTTCCTCCACGATTCAATGCCGGATGTGGAGAGTGATCTCAGCAAAAGTTAGCACGAATGCACGAGATGATGTTTTCCATCACACACACACACACACCTCTCTGTTACCCTCTTTTCTGCAACCTGAAACAACTACGGTTCTTGGAAAGCTTGAGCATCGTTGCTATTATTCGAGATGGCATCAGAGAAAGATACCACAGTCGAGCCGCTTTACCCGGAAGGTCGGAGAAAGCAATATCAGAGCACAGGTATCTCACCATGGGCCTGCTACTAGTGCAAAAGGTAAGTCTATCTACTGTCAGCAGGCGGCTTCTCTGCAGATTTCTGATCGCGCCTCAACGCCTACAATGTACTCTTTGGTAATATGTTTTCTGACTTGGGCATAGGAGAAAGGTTAAATGGTACAAGCTACTCGTATCAGCAAGGATCATGAACGTCACTGACCCATGGTGTGACATTGTGTCGCCACTATAACAGTGATAAAACAACTCCATCTTGTGAGATATGTATTCGAAACGAACAGGATTGCCGTTATTCATCGACAGCTCAAAAGCCTGGCTCGAAACTTGGTGATTATTATTCTGTCTAAGCGGTACCTGAATAAAAATTCTCACGGTTGGTAATACAGGGAGCTTTCACAAACGCAAGATCAGATCTTCTCATCGTCGACACAACGACCCGAATATACCTTTTCCGCAGCTACCCAAGAGAGATTCAGATGATCATTCGGGTAAAGGTCTGGACGTCGAAGACATCCCTTTACATCATCTTCTAGCACACAAAGCAAAGTCAAATAGTATATCAAGCTGGATATTACATCATTTCCATGAGAAACAGGCTTATTACAAGGAATCCGAAGAAAGTCGTAAGAGTTCCTGCTCTCCACAGGCACACTTCATCCCAACTCCACCAAAAACAATACAGCAAGATAATAGAACGTATGTTTGCACAGCGTCGGGCATATGTGAAGATGAGTATCTTCAATTGTGAGTTTTAAGATCAAAGTATTGTATCACGAAGGACAAGCTAACTACAAGTGTTTTACAGAATAGACTTATACTTCTCCGATCTCACTTCAGTTTCACTATTCCACCGACCAACCTTTCAACAGCGCATTGATAGCGAACTTGACCCTGAACAATCCACTGCTTTACTTGCTTCTACGTTCTCGCTGTCTGCTAAGCACCTTTGTAACGACAGAGATGATACTCGAAAAGAGGTGTTGAGTCCGTCCAAGTTCTACGAAATTGCGTCGAACTTGGTTCACAAGCAGTTGCGAAATTCTGGTGACAGATCCCCTCCATTATTCCTCCTTCAGACTTTTATCATGACAACATACTACAAACTGGTCAGTGGTGTTCGTGGGGTCGCATGGCGGTCACTGGGAGCGGTGATAAGACTTGCATACGAACTTCGACTTCATCTTGTCGACCTGCCTCTGAAACTGTCTTCCACCAAAACTGATATGGATCTTGTAGAGGTATGGGTGGCCAGAGAAGAAAGACGGAGAGCGTGGTGGACTATTTGGGAATTCGAGGTCTTTGCGACCACCATACGCAAGTGCCGACTCGGAATGGATCTAGAACAACATGCCACGCTTCTGCCTGTTGACGACAAATTCTGCTTCAATGGTGAGAAAAAGCCGAGTTGCTTCTTTCAGAAAGATCCCGTACTTCGATGGATAGAACTGAAAAATAGCGACAATGAAAGTGGCAGAGCCTGGTTCATAGTCATCAATTCCTTCATGCGAGACGCACATTCTCTCTCGAATGCATCCGTCCCTGTGGAATCTTCTAGCGATGAGGATACTGGATCTTACGGGGGTAATCGTTTAACCTCAAACCAGAGAAATGGCCAAGATTTTGAGAGGGCATCGAAACTCGCCGTGCTAGACAACTGCCTTTCTTGCTTTATGCTGTCGTTACCTCAAGAGCTTCGTTATCGTTCAGAGCATTTATTTTCAACCCCATCGGGTTAGGATCAAATGTATGCGCGATGAAGAGACAGTGAAAAGCAGACGATTCACGCAATGATTCAACTTGCCAAGATAATGATACTTCACAAAGATTGCTTCCGTAACGACTACCGAGCAGTCGAGAGAGAAGACGACGCAAACGTATTCAGCAACACGGCATCCTCGCCATGGCCAGGCGAATCCGGCTCACATCCAAATTCTGTATGGTCAAGGTACCTTGATGCCGCAAATAATGTGGTTAGAATCGTCCGAAACGCGTCGATCGACCACATTCGCTATGGAGACCCTCTTTTAGTAAACACTTTCTGGATCATCGCTGCGATGCAGCTTGTACAAAGAACATTTGCGAAAACAAAATCTGAGAAAGTCATGGCGCAGTCCAGCTTTGATTTGCTGCACCTGACGTTGATACAACATGAGCAATATTGGAATACCTCACCTGTACTTTTACAGAACTTGGATAAGCTATAAAGTACTCTAAGCAGCATAAGGGCTCATGTTGTCTCAAGGTCTTCTACCATGAATCAGCCCAGTGCAGCTCCGCGTTCGCCAGAAGAAGAGTTGAGTCCTCATGTCGTAAGTATGACCGGCCTCATGGTGGACACAGTAGTACTGACAGGCGCTTAGCATGGTGATACCAATCTGAAGAACAATGGCTCCTCACTGTGTAAAGATCTGGGAGAAAGTGAACAGAGCAATGCAACGGACTGCGTGCAACAGATTGACATGACAGCTTGTGAAGGCACTTTCTCACTTGATAGCGGCGATTATGTTTGTGATGCAAGCCTCGATGGCTCCAATCTGGACTTTACCTTGGATTTGCCAATTGATACCATTTTCTCCGAGATTTGGCAAAATTCACAGCACAATGATCTATGTACTGTTGATGACATTCTGGGGCCTTATATATATTCGGACAATTTGCTATAAGATATAGATAGCAAACACTTTGACAAGGAAGAGAAAAAAAAAGGACATGTGCTGAGAATTGATGATGATATTGCCGTTATCTCCTCTGCTCCCTAAATATGCTCTGATTGGAAAACGACTGTAAGAGTCCAGACGTGTATTTGGCCGATTGACTGATCGGTGGGTTTCGGTCGATTCTTCGGGCTAACTGCTGGTGAATGCTTCTCGGGCGAAATTTCGGGCCACGTCAGATAAAAGATCTCTCATTGCATAACAATAATAAGAGTTTAGGATTCGTACTTATCGATTGTTCTTTATAATCATCAGGCCATCTGCTTTTCTAAGACTCATGGATGAGATGCTTCCAGTTCCAACAAACATTTCTTCATCGACCATGGCACGCAACTGGACACACCTGATACGCTTCATAGCAGATGAAGATAATCAGATTCATCTGGGTCAAGTCGATCCATCCGTTAATCCAGATGTCGGATTGGACACCTACAACGGAAAGCGTGTTCAAGCGCGTCTAATAGTTGGATCGGCCTTTGACAGTACTGTAACAGACAAAATCATGACGGTAAAGCAGGTGGGCTTATTACGATCCCACATTGCAGTAACTCCCTCAAATAATAATACTTCGCAGCTTCTAGCGCCGTTAGATTACCACGAGGTTCCTTTAGTTCGCTGTCTTGGACTCAATTACTACGACCATGCTATCGAGGCAAAAAAGCCCATCCCCAAGGAACCAGTGCTCTTCATCAAGCCTAGAACTGCAATTAGTTCACCGTATCCGACTACCATCAATGTCGCTAAAATAGGACAAGATTCTTCCAGCGATTACGAAGCGGAGCTTGCGTTCATAATTGCAAAGGACGGAAGGGATATACCGGAAGAGAAGGCGGGAGAATACGTTCTTGGATATACATGCAGTAACGACGTATCTGTCAGGAGTCAACAGTTCAAGAATAGCCAGTGGTGCTTTCCAAAGGATTTGACGGATCAGCCCCCATAGGACCCGTTCTGGTCAGTCCAGATACTATTGGTGACCCAGGCAACCTGGCAATTCGGGCAATATACAATGGAGATACAGTGCAGAACTCAAATACCAGGTTTGCTCCTAAAGCTCTACAAGTATCCGATCATCTTAACTCACATATTACTATAGGGAACTTATCTTTGACGTCAACAAGATAATATCCTTTTTATCGCAAGGTACAACACTTGAACGAGGGACCGTGGTCATGACTGGCACTGGTCCAGGGATAGGATCTCTGAGGAATCCGAAGATATTTCTGCGAGATGGAGATGACATAAGAGTAAATATCGAAAGAATTGGGACGCTTATCAATAGGACATACTATGAATAGAACATGAAACATATCTATATAACCATATCACTCCAATAAACATAATACAAGTACATCAACCTAGTATTGTAAGGTATCATACAGCTCGCATGTAGCTCATCAGGCGCTGACTTCAACATCTCCTTCCCAGTGAATTTTTCTTTCCAAAAAAATGTCTGACCTGGCGGAAGGTATCTCGTCGAACAGTGATGCTTTTACGAAATATTTGCCAGGCAGCTTTTCGGGTTGACTGAAAAGAGGACTATCAAACAGCATTCCAGTTAGCGTTGTCTTGTTAATAGTATCATAACCATGAAAGGAGCCCGGCAGACCTTCCACATGTTTGACAAAATGTGCGCTGATTAACGACGAACATGAGTTAGTATTGGTCCTAATAGTATTGATACTCATAGAACACACCGTCACTGAAGCTTTGGATGCAGTATTGTAATCGAGGTATTGCTTTGCGGAACTCTTAGGATCACTAACTGTGAAGTCTTTTTCCTCTAGAAAATAGTTGATCGAGAACGCTATTTCCTAGTTAGACAAGTGGGATGAAGTTTGAGGTAGACTTAACGGACGTCCACCTGAGCGACGACAATTCGAGCTACCAGACTCATCATATCAGCATACAACGTGGAAGTTCCATTTAATTGATGGCGTACCAATGACACGCCAAGGTTGCAGAAGGAGCTGCGTTAAGCGTGACGGTGATAGAGCCACAATTGCAAGTACCGCTGTAAGACGACATGGCGAGGATCGCGTTGACGACAAGGGATATCGGCTGAATCAGAATAAGTGAATTGCAATGACAAGGGAAGAATATTAATGAGATTAAAAGTCTATGGCTCACTATAACATTAAATGTTGAATTTCAGCAATTACGCCTACTTATGTTCCATCCTGCCGAACATCAAGGATACGAGCTCCGTATTTACCGAGGTTTCGGTACATGAGACGGTAGGATTCTGACGACGCGGTTCAATTACCAGGGATAATTTGAGCGTTCAACTGGTCTGGTGATCGATCATTATGGCCATCAATACGACTCTCAATGCGACCACAGTATGGTATATTCATCCACTATTTTCTCTTTCAGCCGAAACTAGATCGGAGATAGGACCTAGCGACTCATGTCGCATGCTCTTACAAATCCTGCCACACCCTATCTTCTGAATCACATCTCGTCTGTAGAAAAAAAACTGTTTGTTTGGATCAATGGCATAGACTGACGAAAAAGCTATTAAATACATGGGTTGGTTCAGACAAGCCGATTATCTGATATCTCCCTAATTAGTTTCCTAGCACCCACAACTTCCAGACTACCACCCTTCAACTCAATACCTTCTATTCTTGTTAAAGTAAAAGAGAACATCATGTGGTAGGAGTTCCCGGTTAGCTAATTATACCGAGGTATTATTCCCCAGTTAGCTAATTACGCCGAGTTGTTTGTATAGGGATGCAGTTTGTAGCTTTCCACGATCGGGACAATTAAATCATCTTATTGTCTATGCATGCAACCTTCAACCAGTTCCTAAAAGATCAACGTCCCTCTTTCCGACTGAAAACTGAACTGGAAGCTCGTGGTACCTGTAACAATGCCCATTGTGTTGCGAATTTTAGGATGATGATATGTCTCCAGACTCTGTAAGTCTTCTCGACTACAAACCTTCAACTGTTCCAAGATTTCGGCCACGGCGGCGTAAAGTATATCTAAGTTTCCATCTTCAATCTTGACCGCAATACCAATTGCGCCCAAAGCCCCAAGGCTTTCGGTGCGCCCGGACTTACGCAGTCCGATCCCATAGCAGCCATCGGCCCCGACTTTGCCGATGATGGCGCCATTAAAAGCACGCATAAGGAGCGTATCAAATCTGCCCTCGCCGCCAACCATCTCAGGGTTTTGGAACATGGCGTTAAATATCCGCCCCATATGCTGTACTCTTTTGGCGGTTGAATTGCCGCTTGCCAATGCATCTGATGCTTGAGCAAATGAAGCATAAATCTTAGCAAGATGGAAGAGGGGTAACGCAGGAGCTGGCATATTGCAACCGTCAAGCCCCCACCGAACATCTTGTTCCTCCAGACCTGCCAATTCTTCCACCACCCGCCTAACTCTACTCTGAATCGGATGTGTGAGAAGGTGATAGTCGTCTGAGGTAGCGGCAATAGCTTTAGCACCAGCTAGCATACCCGCGTGTTTTCCGGAGCAATTGTTATAAACTCCGGTTGGCTCGAAACCACGCCTTATCCATTCTCGGGCGATGGCTAAGTTGATTGAGGGATGACCACCACAGCGCAACTGATCTTCGACGTGCCGTGATTTCGCGAGCATTTGCTGAGCCCGTGCAACATGCCGTTCTTCGCTGCTGTGTGAAGCACACATAAGTGCTAGATCAACATCATCAAAGCCAAACTGTTCAAATGCACCAGTTTCCACAACCGCCAGCGCTTGAGCAGGCTTGGCTGCAGAGCGAAGCAATGTTATACGCGAGGGATCGCCAAGGGAAAGTAGAAGCTGCCCAGTAGAGTCCACGACAACAGCATGGACCAAGTGCTTGTTTTCGACAATGCCGTTTCTGTCGATGACGACATAACTGTCGTCATGGGATGGTATTGTCATTCTTTTACACCAATGCAAGAGACACCGATGTGCTTTTATTAAGGCCTTGTGGCGGGTGAGTCAATGCAATGTTAAAGAGCAGGCCAAAGAGAAATTTGAGAAGCTAAATTGATGCAGCCATTATCTCCAAAAAAAAAAAAAAAAGGCCCACATGTGCGGAGGGCGCAACAGTTGGAGCCAATAGTGTATTAACCAAGTCGCAGAACCACAACTGAGCATGTTTCTAAATGAAGTCCTTGAGTATAAAACCCCGCTATCCTTCTTCGCTGTTTGAGTTTCTACTTCATGTAAAGATTGTGATTCGACTTTATTCAACTACAACTCATGTGGTACAAGAAATGCCAACAATCTCATGCCTTGTGGCCCGGCTTAATGACCAGCCGTGTTCCGTGATTTTCTCCATGCTTCAGAATCCTCCACGCCTCTCCTGTTTTGTCTAATCCCCCAATAATAGTAAGAGGGAGCGAAGTGAGCTGCTTCTTGGCCAAAGCCTTCTCCATAAAGTTCCACCAGAACCACTCTGTAAACTCACTATTCTTCTCATCCAAGTAGTCATCAATATACTGGGCAAAATGTCCCGTAACGCCTGCAGGCAGTTCAACCCCTGCTCGAACACCCATCGTGGATAAAAATGAGCCGCCACCCAGAGCCGCCAGTATCGCTCCGATTTTGACTTGATCCTCTGCAGAATCAGCAGCAGCAAAAACAGCCTTGAATGGTCCCAATGCAGACGCTGCAGAGACAACATCTTCTGAGGTGCGGTCTACAAAATGCGTAACACCAAATCGCTCTGCGAGTTCCTTGTGGCGACCAGAAGCGACACCGACAACCTCGTACCCAGCATGTCTGGCCAATTGAGTTGCGAAAATTCCTAGCGATGATGATACGCCCCAGATGAGAATCTTTTCGCCAGTGGCAGGTGCACTGGGTATTTGTGGCCTGTTCAAGCCAAGATGAAGGACTAGAGCACTCATCGTCGTATAGGATGTAGCGATATTGGCAGCTTCGTCAAATGATACATCACTTATCTAGATATCATGGCAATTAGAGATATGTTTATCGCACCACTGTTTACAAGAAGGGTTACCTTTGAAGCTAATCGTTCAGGAACAAGGCAATATCTCTGATATGCGCCAAAACGAGAGTCATTTCGAAGAACCCCAGTAGTATTGGTTAAAATGTGGTCTCCTGGCTGGAAGCGAGTAACGCCAGGGCCGGTCTTTTCAACAATTCCAGACGCAGAAACTAGTAGCCTTGTTAGGAAATGTTAACAATAGTGCGGGTTCAGATAGAAACCTACGGCCAATAACAGTTGGGTACTTGAGCTGAATAGGAATGAGGCCCTCTTGTATCTTCCATTCTCCAGGCTGAACTGCTATAGCTTTAACCTTTACATCTTGATTAGTATACCCTTGGGGACTATTTTGGAGAACGATGTTGAGATTAAACGAACCTGTATCAACATCTCACCTTCTCCAGGCTCGTGTATATCTGCCAGTCCAATCTTTGGCGGCTCGCCAACCCCAGTTAACCATAATGCCTCATTCGCCATTTTGCGTGCTGTGACTTCTTTTCTTGGGAGAAGATTGAATTTGGAGAGTTAGGGGTGAATAGAGCTTCTAAAGATAATGAGTTCTATTTAATGCATAGTGAAGCTCGACTATTATATCTCAAACAATTCATCCCGATATATGAGTGTCTATACATCCCAATCTAATGAATACCATTTGTCATTCCTTACTCAAGTCTATCCGAATCTGAAGTTTCATAGCTACTGTTCAACAAGAAGTGATAAATCGTCTTGTTTAGCTGCATCTAGATCTGTGTAATTCCGACCGTAGCGTAATTTTCGGATTTGTAATCGGCGCGGGCAGCACCATCCAAATGCAGCCTCACGAAATGGGAAATTTGATTGGAGCATTTATAGAAGTGTTTCCACTAAAGACTATGGAATCAATCCATACTCCTGATCTGCTAATGATGAGAAAGCAGATTAGCTAACAAGCGCTCGCTTGATTGTCTATTGAACAGGGGTTTGAAGAGTTGGGAGACTATGGAAACAGAAAGCGGCCGCATTTACCCAAACTAGCCATTCAGCCCTCTAGCAACCTTGAGTACTATTCAGAGTATGCTTTTTATCTAACTGAGTAGTTGTGAAAAGAAGAATAATGAGCTAAGTACCTCGCGCGTTTAACCACCCAAACTTTACGAGGTTGCTCCAACATATTCAGTTATAGCAGTCCAACTACTACACGTTGCGATAACGAGTTTTGTCCTGTCTGTTCATTTTTGAGGTGATGACTATGGATTCATTACAGGAAATTTATGAAGTCATATGATATCAAAATTTATGTTTTCATAGCCACACAAGGGCAACTGGCTCTTTAATGTCCATTACTAATGAACAGTGTATAAAGACAACATGGGCCAAAGTCTCAACCTCAGCGAATAATGGCGACAAGAAAAGCGCGGTCGGTCATTAAGACAATATACATCTCTATTATCTCCTTGCCTGAGTATAATCTGCATTTGCTTCCTCTTCTTCTTGTCTCTCATCGCGTGTGGGCTGTCACACGTCATTTACAAGAGCCGATGTTCTTGCTATACATCTACTGTCGCTACATGCCCACTTAGTGACTTCATTAATTGACGTTTAGCAAGACATTCATCATCCAAAAACGAACAATAGTTTATCATCATCATGTGTGATATTCCTCGTTACGCGAGACGCGTCGACTATCTTTTTAAACTAGGTATTGTCCCCTTCATCGCTGAAACTAAATTAAGTACAGAGCAACCATAAATATGTATGCAGGATATCAATCATTTGGTAATAAACACAGTTCTATCCACAACCTTGACCACATCCCCAGAATAACTTTTTTTTCATGTGCGTAGATGAGCTGCTTAAGCAGAAGCAGCGGCAGGAAGGAAATGGGGGGCGTTGAGGAAGAGACCCATTATCACACCACCGAGGGTACCGGCAACGGGGATGGTCATGATCCAGGAGAACAACAAAAGTCCAACTCGCTGGAAGTTGACGGCCTTGAAGGTGCCGTTGCAGAGACCAACACCAACGGTGGCACCAGTGATGCACATGGATGTAGAAACGGGCAGAGAGTACTGAGAGAAGACGAGGACGGTAATGGCAGCACCCATCTCCATGGAGCAACCACGAGAAGGAGAGTGGTAGGTGATCTTGTTACCCATGACTATATGACGCGTTAGTGAATCAGACTCAAACTAGGAGACGGAGCATAGAATGAAACTTGCCCTTCATGATGTTGTAGCCGTAGGTGCAGAGACCGATGGAGATCATGGCAGACAGAACAGCCAACTGCCAGACGGGAACGGGGGCCTTGGCGGCGGCAGCGTTACCAGTCTTCCAGGCAGAGTAGATGACGGCCCAGGGGCCAACAGAGTTACCGATATCGTTGGCACCGTGAGCGAAAGAGGCAGTGCAAGCAGTCAAAACCTGGATGAATGAATAGGTGTGCTCGACCTCGTTGGGGAACTTCTGGGCAGCGGCGTAGACACGCTTCATGCGTTCACCATCGGGGGTGCCCTCAGCACCGGTCTGGGCAGCGTGGATATCGTAGTAGAGACCATAGAGAAGACCGGCAGTGATCATAGCGGGGATACGGATAGCAAGGATCTTGATGTTCTTGAATTCGTAGATCTCACCAGGGCCCATGGGGTTGTCACGGAGAGTGCGCATAGCCCAGCCGATAGGTCCACGCTTCTTATCTAATTACGAGTTAGTACAGCTTGTTTGTGTCTCCTTTGATCTCCAAACTTACATAATCTAGCATTGAGGCGGTTCTGGTTCTCAGCCATGAGCTCGGCGTAGGTGGGCCTGGCAGCCTCAACAGCAGAGATGTTCTTCTCGGCATCGGCGGGGGTTGTCGTGGCATCCACGTCATTCTTGAGGGCCTCGCCGTCGAGAGACTCATCAACAGAGTTGCCGGAAGAGTGCTGGTCATCCTTGTGGTGCTGAACAACAGCGTAGTCGGGAACGGCAGCGGTCTCAGCATCGGCGGGAGCAGGGCGGTTCCACAGAAGAGGTCCGAGGATGAACATCCACCACTTGACGGTGTAATCCTTCTTCAGGATCTTGGCGCGAGCAAAAGGAACAAAGAAGATGGCGGACAGAAGCGCAACACCACCGCCAGTGCCCATGGTGACAGCGGCAATGTACCACGCAGGCTTCTTACCAAGACCCAAGTTGGGAGAACCCTTGTAGACAATGGACAGAGTGCAGATGGTGGCGGCAACTAGGAAGAAGAAGGGAGAGGAGTAGACGGCCCAGGGTGTAGGGTTCTTCCTGACGTGAACGACAAAGCGAATCAGGAGGAAGATGGCGGCAGCGAAACCACCAGAAATGGCCGGAGCCATACCCAGGCCAGCGAAGATGGCACCAAGACCCTTGCCATCATTCCATCCCCATTGAACCTTGCTAGCACCGACAGTAGCAACACCGACACCAGCGACAGCAGAGATGAGGGAGTAGGTGGAAGAAACGTGAGCGGAGTGACGAGTGCACCACATGACCCAAGAGGAAGCGGCGGCGAGGGCGCAGGTGAAGGCGAGCATCTGGACACCGGCGTTGCCCTGGAAGGCAGAGTTGGGGATGATGCCGTTCTTGATGGTATCGGCCGTTCGGGCACCAACAGTGATGGCTCCGAGCATTTCGAAGACGGTACCGAAGATCATGGCCTGTCGGTAGGAGATGGACCTAGATGAGACACTGGTGGCCCAAGAGTTGGCAACATCGTCTGTAAGAGAGAGAGCATATGGGTTAGATATTTTGCTGTTGTGAAATTGTGAAGCTTTGTAAAGAGATTACTTACTGGCACCGTTGTTGTAGGCATCCAGCATGGCAAACAGAGTGCCAATGGCAAAGATGTAGTCATACTGATGGAGCACCATTTTGACGGATGTGCGTTTCAGCAACCCCAAGCTGTAGGAAGGGTGATCCTGCAAAGATTGGAATGGGGATAGTAAAGAGTCAAGCCGGAAGAGAAGTCCAAGGGCAGTCGCACAGGACGCTTCTTAAATATTATATCCCCAGCTCTAACTCGTACGTGTACTACATATGTAACCTGCACCCAGCACCAGGTCCCCTGGGTACCAGCCCAAGAGTGCATATTCTCCTCGGTCCAGGTTCCATCGTTATCCGCATGCTCCATAGCCACTATCGTATTGTGCGTCCCACGCACGACAAGAAGGAAGACAAGAGGCAAGATGGGGTAGAAACATCGTGGTCCTTTCCCCGTTGGGACACCGACGTCGTCAATGCACACTTTTGGGCAAAGAATAGATCAGCATGTGGCAACGGATATTGGCCTTAGTCCTGAAGCAACAGCTGTCTGATGGAAAGTGTTCGTGGAACCTTGCAAAGTTCCAAGCTCTAACGCAGACAGCATCAGGCACGACGTTGTTGGTGGCAGGGTAAGCCTCGCGCAGTCCGTCTCCCTATCACGTCCCCAGGAAAATACACGTGGGTTCGTCGACAGCTCTCAGCGGTAGATCGATGCGGCCCCCAGACTCTTGTTCGTCGAGATGGATCCACCGGCTGAGCAGACTTGCTGCGGCCAAGAGATTCCCGAACCGGCCATGTAGGCCGCCATCTTCTCAAAGCTGGACCGAGTGTCGCGTGAACGCCCTGAAATGCAAATAATGCGGCCGGGAAGCGGACAAACAGATGAATCTCCTCATCCATCTGGCCGGTCGAGACTCTGCTTCTCTTCAGTCTTCTTTGTTCATCTTCCGTCTGTCCTTATCTCCGTGTCTGCTTCGTCAGAGAGGAGGGCCAACACCACCACCACCACCGCTATCGAAAAACGATAGCCAGGGTCGAATCAGACAGGCTATCCCAAAACCAGCTCAAGTCCCTCGATCACGACAGAGCACGTGCCTCGGCCTCGAAGGAACAAAGCCTTCGTCTGCGGCCTTGCCAAGACTGGCAACGACCCAAGTTAAACCGCAATAAGGTTGACCACTTACATTCAGTGTGGATAAAGTTAACATTTAAGCTTGGCATCCAGTCCAGCGCTAGCTCGTTGGAGCCGTTCAGGGGTGTGTCACTTCCCACGGGGTGACAATGGTGGCCAGGTTTGCTTGCCCAGAAGCCTCTCAGCGGAACGATTCAAGGCTTCCAACTGCTAGTAGCTCGGCATAACGTCTACTCCCATCCAATTCAATACGTCTCGGGATACTGATGACCAGTCATGATCAGATTTCCTCACCACCCTGGCACACGTGCGGCGCTTCGGTGACCGGAAAGCGATCAACGGCGCAGCCAAGACTCGATTCATTGCTCCATAGCGCCACGGCCAAGGCGGCGAGGTCCAGTATTTAGAGATTTCACACCTCATTCGCCCACTGCTTCGGTGTCTCTGACCTGACTTCGGTTCATCTGCTGGCTTGGCAACTCTCAGCCGCCTGCGGGAGGCAAAAGAGAAAAAAAGAACTGGAGCAGAAAGAAAAAAGTGTAAAAAAAGAGGCATCCAATTCAACTAGCCAACCACTAGACAAACACGCTCAAGGGCCAATGATCGACCCACTCCAAGCATTGCAACCATTCCTTCTCGTAAGCCCGCGTTTTGTCCATGTAGGCTTATCGCAGTCCTCCCCTCGAGCACGTGTCTCATTGAAAGAGTCGGGGTGTTTGTGGATCTGCGCTGGTATTCATAAAAACTTTATCTCTTCACTTTATTAGCACATGGCCGCAAATCTTCAACTGCGCGCCTCGCAAGCTGATTTGCCACCGTATCGCCTGACCGAATTACGACGTCTAGATCATCGATTGACGGTCTACTTATTTGCCAACACAAAGCAAAAAGATGATGAACTTGTGATGCATGAACAAAGAGAAGCAATTATTCGAGGGAACCAATGAGAAAGAAAACAATAGCCCCAACGTCATATCTCGATCTCTTCCATCTTTTATTATGCCGTGACAGGATAATAGCACTGGCGCGCGTCTAGAGCTGGGCACTAGAGGTAGGTACAGTGCCAGGTTTCACCTATCGACAGCCCTGGAGCTTTATCTCGAGACATGGAGCTACCCTGTACCACTCAGAATCATTTTGCAACTCAGCGATATCATGTCTGCATCTCGGATCAAGTCAGAATAAACATTGCTTGAGTAGATGAAGTGCTATACGAATAAACAAATTTTGTGCGGTTGAATGCTTCTGAAATTTACTCTATATAACGTTCTCTAACTCTATATGCATGGTTGATACTACGTTCAATTTTACTTCCATATTGAACGAATTATGATGATAACCTCTGAGTCTACCGACACAGTTCCATGTTGGTTAGAATCAGCCCCTCATTGTGCATACCTCTCCAAGCCAAATGATATTATTACAATAGTTTGCGAAAACTCATCCACTTTGCAGCGATATGTCTGATCTACCAAGTTTTCCAATTCTGTGTGCCGCACGGCCAAAAACCCCGACGAAGAAATACGCTTCATCCATATATGCGGATCGGGTGCGTCCCACAGCCCGTTCGCTGCGGTAAAGATGATGCCACCAGGACAATCGGACCACCCTTTCTGCAAGACCCGAAATACGGAGCGGGTGATGCCAGCAGTGAGGCAGGTCCTGCGTATCGACTCGGCAAATGTCCAGGATTGCCAAGCAGAGTAGACTGTTCCGTCCATGAGGAGCCCCACGTAGTCGTACTTGGTGGTGCTGATGGTCTGATCGATTGACGGAGGCGCAGTGGCATCCATGGTCTCTTTCGTCGTTCCGGATTTCCTGCAACTCTCTGTAGCCGGAGGGTCACTGTTGTCAGTGTTAGGGTTGTCTTCAGCCCCGCGGCCTTGAGATATATCCAGCACGGTCCGTTCCCAGAGCTCTGTTGCCCACGACGTAAGCACATCGAGATTACTTTCAGCTTGGCCCCTTGCGCGGATATCACCATCGAAAAGTCCTACAATGGTATATACTAGAAGAGCTTGGAGGCGAGATGGCGCCGTCATGGGACCAAATACAAGATCCTCTATGGGTCGTGCATCTTTAGAATTACTGACGAGCTGTGCGGCACGACTTTGGAGGATACGCAGAGCCAGTTATTTTGTTGCTAATGTGGAGTTTGTGTATGCAGCGGTAACGGTATAAGCATCTTGCAGGCAGTCTGGGAAGCCGTTGAACGTCTTCTGTTGGCTCAGGTGAATGAAAGGGCAATGACCTTTTACAGACCACTGTTTTAGCCAAGCCATAGCATGCTCGGGGAATTGTCGAAGTGCCTCTTCGTTGAAACAACCGCGAGGTCGGACGGAGCCGGCATTGTCTGTAATGACCCAGGAACTTGGAGATAGAAACCACGGGTTAGACAAATGAGGAGCCAATATAGGTTCACCTCCAGTGGTAACAGAACGGGATTCAGTCAAGAGTGAAGTGGAATCGTGGGTAAGACGGTCTCTGCTTTCGTAAGTACTATCTACGAGGATCTGTTCATGGTAATGGCCGTTCGCCGTGGTACTTGAAGCACTGAAACCGGCAGAGTTGCCGAAAGATCCGCACAGGTCCTGATACACCGTTGGTGGGCCATCAGAAGAGAAGACGAGCTCAACGGAAGGAACGTAGGAGATTCGAAGAGCAGGATATCGACAGACAAGGCCTTTCTCGGCGCAACGGGTGCACGTTGGGATCTGGCGGGAGCATCTCCGCATGCCCTTGGCACAGACAATGCAGGAGACTCGCCTCACATGCCGAGGGTCCGCCCGGGATGTGTTATGCAGGTCCATTACGCCCGCGTGCTGCAAACAAGCGGCACGATACGATATGTTCCATTAGTTCATTGACTGGAAAAAGAAGCCATAACGAATGACGGCAGAGGTCAAGTTGGTAATAGTCTGCGGCCTCGGAATCCGTGGTGAGGCGTTTGTCATCATCCGGGATGGGGCTTTGCGGGATTCTTGTCCGCAAAGCAAATGTGCCCATTAGTAACAAACGCAGCAACTACCTATCGACAAAAAGGTCTCGTTCTAATGTGAAAATCCTCTGAATATCTACTGTAGGCCAGATAATTCTATGACTTTTTCGTGCCGTGGTCCTCATAGTGGCTAGGCAAGCCAGGTTGGCCGAGTGTTGTTAAGCGTTCGTCAAGCCAGTTCAAAGGGCGTTCCCTATGTGTCAATAAGGTGCTCTGTAAGCTAATTACTACTAGATGATTAACTTACATTTTTATTTTTTGCTTTTAATTAATCTGTCAATATGTTATTGCTACTATAATTTCCTATTAATGACTAAGTATTCAGTAGTATTAGTTGACTTTCTTGGAGCGACACCTGCGGACAAAATGTCCGCCACGAGCGGCCCCGCACTAGGACTGCTCGAAAGATCCAAGATACGTGTAAGCAAAGGTACGCAAATCCAAGGATGAATAGAGAGATTGTAGATTACAAATGGTGTAGATGGACAATATTTTTTGCAACTGATGTCATTGTTTCTATCTTATATAACACATAGGAACTTGTCAATCAAGTCAACAATGGACTATTACTATCTCTGTTATCAGACTGGATATGTTATTGTATCTCTTAGATTGAATCATTATATCAAGGGGCCTATTTGCCAATTGAAACAAAATAGAAGTGGAACAATGGGCCTACCATCTATCAAGAACATCCGCAAGGCGGCCTACCCAACCATCGATCCTAAGCGATCAGAGAACAGCCAGGCCGGCCGAACTGTCCCCATCACCGGCGGCCATTCGGGTATTGGATATGCCATTAGCAAAGCCTTCATTTTAGCAAATGCTAAGCGGATTATCATCTTCGGCCGCAGAGCCGATGTTTTGGAATCGGCCGGTAAACAGCTGACAGCAGAGGCCAAAGAACTCGGATCACCCACCATTGTAGATACTGGCAGTGGTGACATTGCTGAGACCGCCTCGGTCAAAAAGCTGTTTTCTGGGTTGAAAGAAGATGGTATTACCCTTGATGTCTTGGTTCTTAACGCGGCAACTGGAGGAACGTCAAAAAAGATGGTCGACATGCCTTTGGACGAATTTTGGGGCGACTATCATATCAACGTCCGCTCTACCTTTGACCTGATTCAACACTTTTATCATCAAAAGTCTGGAGGTCCAAAATATGTTGTCAATCTTTCCACTCTAATCGCATATGTCTGGCATTTGTCAGGCAAGCCGTCGTACGGATTGACCAAAAACGCTAGTCTGGGTATCGCCCAACAATTCGCCTAAGAACACGAGGCGGAAGAAATGCAAATCGTTACCTTTCATCCAGGTGCTGTTCTCACGCCCATGAGTCGCGCAGATGGATTCGATGAGAACTCTCTGATTAACTGGGATAATGGTGAGTCAACCTTTTCAGCCTGGTCCCTTGATTCAAGAAGATTGTCTCGCCTCTCTGTACCATACTCAAAGGTCAGCTGCTAACTCGCAGAGAAGAAAACTTGCCTGCTGCCCTAAGTGTCTGGGCCGCCACTCCTGACGCTGCCTTCCTGCACGGCCGCTTCATCTGGAGTAACTGGGATGTTGACGAGCTTAGAAGTGGCGAGGCAGCTAAATTGATTGACAGCGATCCCAACTATTTGAGGATTGGTGTCAGTGGTCTCACAGAGAAAGATGCGGTTGCCACTCTGATGAAGAAGCCGTAGAAATAGTCTGACTTATGCTAGAACACCTTTCGGCCAGGAAGTTTTCAGGCCTGATTAGCAGAGTTATGGTGGGCCATACTTTTAATATTTTTCCTAAATAGCTATCTACTCAAATTCGTCTGATTAAGAATTGCTTTTGAAGATGTGATCCGGGTTACATCAATGCGATACCACCAATGCCCACTTCCTCGTGAATGCGGTGAAGCTTGGAAGAAGGTCTCATAGAACTATCCAGTTCCTTCTTTTGCGAACTCTTAATGACTGTATGGCTGAATACGTAGAAAGTCTCTTTGACATCCTTGTAAGTGTGCCCACAACGTTTCGCCGAGCAAGACTGGGGATGGTGCCGTCCTTTCCAATGAGGGGCCACACATCAACTTCCGCAGAATTACGTTGTGGAACTCGGCCACCTTATAAATGATGCCGGAATAGTTGATATGTCAAAATTTGTCAGGAGTATTTCCAACTCTATTTTTCTCTGAAAATTCTGTCAAATCCCATGTGACGCTTCCAAGTATGGCGATTAAGAGACACTCTGTCTCCCCCAAAATCTCATTGGTGTTTCTAAAGAAGCTCCTACGCGCCCTCATGGACCTTTCGATTACTTATTGGATAGATTAAGAGAAGGAAAAAAAAGGCTTTGAGAAGTTTGAATCATCATTTCTATTTCTTTATATTAGTTCGACCAGTGGAATACCTTCAGCGTGCTCTGCTGTCTGTCTGAACATGTGTTGTAGTCTTCGAGAAGAGTCCTGACTTTATTGTTGAAAGCCAGGAAGCGGCGTGATTATGAGATAGATATGCCATCATAGTAATACCCGGAAACGGATGAATTGTAATCACTGTTTACCACGACTGATCGTGAACCGGCTCTCTTTATAAACATTCCGACTAAATGATGGAAGAGGCGCCCAAAAAATCTCCGAGCCGAGCGTCGGTTTCTGACCCAACAAAACTGCAAGCCTGATTGGCGAGTAAGGAGGAAAGTCTCCGCTTTGACCATTACTAACATGACTAAAAGAGGCTTTCCAAAGAGGGTAGCACGTACCCTGGCCATAAAAGCGGGACTTCTCTGATGGTATACGTAGCGATACTTTGACTATGGTGATCTCTATTGGGCACGAAGAGTAGCTCTACTTTGCCGTTGGTTCTAGAATCTCCATATTTATAATCCAATCCGATCACGCAGCAGAATCCGTGACGATTTTCTGGCGGCTAAAGTCTCACAGTCTTGAGACTCTCGACTATCGCTGACATATCCGGGAACATACTGTTAAGTGCCAGACCAATGGATTGCAGCACTAGAGAAAGATGCAATTAGTGTATTTCGTTGCGTTGCATTATCTGACCTAAAGTATCTTTTTTTGTTTTGATGCGCCAGTTTGATGAATACAAATCTTAGTAATTGAGTGGCATCATCATAGCCCTTTGTCCCCGAAAAATTGCAAAGTCCGCGGCGTCTCGCTTTACCCCAAGAAGTATAATGACATATCTAAGTAGGGGGCATCCAATTGCATCTCTTGCCTCTGGGCTGGCCTCTACAAATGCGGCAATTGCCTAGCTAGAAAGGCGGTGGGATCAGTAATCGTGGCTACAGAGCATCATTACGCTCGCAACACTTTCTACCTGTCGGACTTGTGACCTCATGAGAGTCTAAATGCTATGAGACATGATTAGTGAACGGTGTAAAGGAGATCGAGAAGATTTACAATGCAACAGGATATATAAAGAGTTGGCAAAGTCTCCCTCTCAGATTATTCCATCATTCAAATCAGCAATTCACACACATATCACACATATCACAACACAGCAAACAGCATTAAGATAACTCAATAATCCACCATGTCCAAAGTCATCCTCATCTTGGGCGGAGCCGGAGCTCAGAACTCCGCCGTGGCCCGCGAACTGGTCAAGAACGAGGACTTTTTGGTCAAAATCCTGTCTCGAAATGCCAAGTCGGAGGAGAGCGTCTCTCTGGCGGCCATCCCCCGCATCACCGTGGTTGAAGGCGACACTTATGACGAAGACAATCTCGTTTCTGCATTTGAGGGAGTCTACGGTGTATTCGTCAACACCAACGGCTTCGCGATTGGTGAGAAGGCAGAGATCTTCTGGGGCATTCGCATCTACGAGATTGCCTACTGGGCTGGTGTCAAGCACTTTGTTTACAGTTCTCTACCGTTTGTGTCTAAGAAGTCTGGGTTCAACCCCAAGTATCGTGTCCCTTTTGTCGATGGAAAGGCAAAGGTTGTCGGTAAGAAACTCATCACCATAACCTGACTTAACATCCCTAGGGGGAGCACTAACTTTCCCGCCCTTTTTAGACTTCTTGAAGGCTCAGCCAACCGATAAGATGAACTGGAGTGCCATTGAAAGCGGTCCCTATCCCGAGTCCCACCTTGCTACATGGTCTCCCGCCAAGGGAGACGATGGTGTCTATGTCTTCCGCATGCCCATCGAAGCTGATGGTGCTATGGCAATGGTAGGATTGGTCGACTTCGCCTGGTTTGCTCGATACATGTTTGAGCACCCCAAGGAATTTGAAGCAGACTTGCTCAGCGTTGGCATTGACCACGTAAATGGTAACACTATTGCTGCCGCCTTTACCGCGGTGACTGGAGAGCCTGCTCGCTTCGAGCCTCTACCTCTCTCCGCAGTGGCCGAGTCGTGGCCAAAAACCAAGATTGGTCTGGCTGGATCTCCAGGCTATGAAGACCCAACACTCAAGACCATGGCTGAGATGTTTGTTCCTTGGTTCACAATCTGGCAAGAGAGCGGTGGTAACAAGGGCCTTTGGACTAAGGACTATGCTCGCTTGGACAAGATCCACCCTAAGCGCATCAAGACCATCGAGGAGTGGATGCGTTCAGTCGGCTACTCAACTGAAAGATATCCCTCTGCTTTAAAATCCGGGCTCTTCGACGACTCAGCAGCTGAGGTAGAGCTGGTCAATGACGGCAAGAAAAACTAGACAGAATATCATATAGACAAGAAGCGAAAGTAGTTAATGTTTTAGCATAGCAATTTATTATTTATACTGTAACCATCAGCTTTAACATCTCTTTTATTAACGTGTCATGTCAGTACCCGCAACAATGCATCCTGGTCAAGATGATATAGATCTATTATTGGCATTGCTCATAGTCACCTATACTATACTAAACTTTAACATCAGGATACACCTCCTCTCTTTATGACAATGCAATTTGCTGATCAACAAAGGCAGTGATAGTCTCTTCCGGTGAAGTCCAGTTCACCTTGAGATACTTGTCTGTAACATCCCTATCCATGGTCATGGTTGGCTCCTCCTGAGGCGCAAACTTGATGGCCAAAGAAGGATATTTCGAGTTGATAAAGCTGGCGTACTGCTTCCAGGTGTAAAGAGGACCAGTAATGGGCAGCTCAGTTCCAGAGGGAACATCGGCATCAATGATTCGTGCCAGTGCGAGTGAGACGTCGCGAACATCCACCATCAGGTAAGGTGTCAACGGAGCATCCGACTGCAGAGTCATCCACATAAGGAAATTCACTCCGCTGAGCTCGCTCGAAGATTTTTGCACCAGGCTAGGTCCAAAGACCTGAGAAGGATGAACGCTCACAACAGTAAACTTGGGGTTCTCCTTCTGGATCCAGTCGCGGTAAGCTTGGTGGGCAACGATTTTGCCTGTCTGGTACTTGAGAAGCTGGCCAGGTAAGCCCTCAGGGAAAGCCATTTTATAATCGACAGCGAACTTTTCGCCGGTATTGGCTACCAAACTGTTAGCTTATTCGGCTAATTCACGATGTTGTTGTGATAACATACCCTTAATGTGGAAGGGATTGCGCATAACGCCATCCATGGGCATCAAAGACAAAAAGGACGACACAATGGCAACTTTTCGAATGCTGGGTTCCTTTTTGGCAGACTCAAGAATCGACAAGGTTCCATTGACCGCAGGATCAACAAAGTCTCTTTCCAGCTCTACTCCCTTGTCGACCATTGCTCCAGCCAGGTGGAAAACATAGCTGACACCCTTCAGAGCATCTTGATAAGCAGAGGGCTGTGACATATCCGGTACGACGGCATATTCGATCTTATCCGCAGCAGAAGGATACAGCTCCTTAATTAACTGAGACTTTTCCTGGCTCCTCACCGCGACACGAACACGGTGACCGGCTTTGAGGACATCACCAACAAGGTGAGTTCCAATGTAGCCAGTGGCTCCGGTAATGAAAACAAGGCTTTCAGACATTTTCAAGTGTGATTGATAGTAAAAAGTTATCTGCTGGCGATGATAGAAGTGGTTGATGAAGAGGTGATGTATCAAGCAGGTATCAAGCAGGAGCTCAGTAGCAAGAATGAGCGCTGCTTTTATATTCGTAAACAGCGTTTCTATCGACTCTATGGACTGCCAAAGCAGTTCATCGGTATCATCGCTTCCCTCTTATTTCTCGCACATAACGGACTGCAATCGTCCTTGAATTGGCAAGAACGTCCGGATTCTATGTCAATAATTGGATGGGAAACGTTAAGCGCTCACTCATCTGCTCGAAGATTATTATTCACAACTTTTCTTTTCGCCCCATCAGAACTATGCTGTAGGGTTCAATGGATAGGATCGGATTAGTGAACATGATGCTAGGTTCGGAGATACTAGTGTGTGGAATATCCGTCTGGAGGCAACTCTCTCCGGAAGCATCGCTTCAAGGAGATACGAAGATATAATTGGTTTAATGGAGTGCAATAGTGGAGTTTCTAATCTGCACTTCATTTGACTTGAGCAGCTCTTTGCAAGCAACTCTCTCCGTGGCAAGTCTGTCCGTTGCAATGAGCCGTTGCCACCTTGCACCTTGCACCTTCAGTTATTTATAAAGTAATCATTCGCGCAGTTTATTTAGACTCCTCGATAATTCACCGATCTAACTCTTGAGGAAATTCTACCAATTCGCCCTATTGCGTTCCGATACATAATCTTTGCTGTCGCGAAAGCTTCTTGGGTATTTATTTGCACGATCTATGAGAATTATCCTTTCTATAACCCATTCTATAACGCCATCTACCATGTAAAGCTCTCCTCATAATAGTCTATATTGTGATTCCCATTCTTTAATGCATCGACAACCGCCAACCTCGAGTCATCTGCCATTTTAGCAGGTCCGCATGCTACGATAGCCAAATTACTGCCCTGAGCACCGCGCGCTGCCGACATGATGACTGAGTGAATATTTGGTCGGCCAACGTGTTGCTCAACCTTGCTTGGCAAATCATTCGTGCCAACGTCATCCCCGTGTGAAGACATGTAGAGATGCAGCGATAACATGCCTGTGTCAAGGGCGCTTTTGGCCTCTTTGGAAAGAACATCTCGTACGAATGCAGGCTCTCGAACTGCCCAGTGTAGCTCGATTGTGGTGGGTTCTTTCATCCCGTCGCAAAGAGAGTTCAAGTATGAGAGAGCAACGACAACTCCGGATCCGCCAGCAATAAATACGACTTGCCGATGCTCCTGGAGCTGTTGTGTATGGCCATACGGTCCGTCTACCAGTACCTTGAGAGGCATCGAGCTCGACTGTTCGTCAGCCAACATGTCTCTGAGGCGCTCAGTGAAGCCATTGTATGGCCTAATAAGGAATGACATGTATTGTTTCTTTGGTTCAGAGGCTATGCGCTCAAGTTGTATCTCTGTGGCAATCGTCGGTGAAGTCAAAAGCGGCTCTTCTTCATCCGAGTACTCCGATGCCTGTGGAAGCTCGCCCGAGGTCGATGCAACGGTAAATGGATGGCTTTCCCAAAAGCGCGTGTCGTTCAAGACCGTCAAATAGAAGAAATTGCCGGGTCGGATTTTGTAGAGAGCATTATCGGTGGGGATGGTCAAACGGATGATGTTCGCGGAGTCGCTGTAGCTGGCCAATGCAGTAGTTGACCAACGTCCAGGATTGTATATGATGATTCGCAAGAGTCTCATTACTCGATCAATAACCCAAATAAATGCTGGGACCCAAAACAATGCGTCGTATTCCCCATTAAATATTGAAACATGTCTGTCGCTGTGTTAGCTTGATTGACGGTGTTATCACACGGTGGAAGCAGCATTCTTACCCGAGCATTGTGAAGAGGATAAGAATAGAGAGTCCGATATGTATGATGAGAAATGCTTCATAGAAGCGACGTCGTGTCCAATAGACGGAAAGTATTAATAGTGCACACATAGCGATAGTGGCCTATTGATGAGTTAGAACATTCTTCAAGCATGGGCACTTGGCTTTCATACGATTTGACCGGCGTTCCAAAACCACATGGTAAACCACCATGAATAATAACTCCAGCCTCCGTCTAGGTAGATATTAGTATTCAGAGACGCATGTTAGTCATATAAATGGAAGTTACATCAACTCACTCATAAAGATAAGAACAGTGTAAAGAATGGAATGAACAACGGCTTCAAGGGTCGAAATTCGGGCACACCATCGGTGGAAGTTGTTGTATGTTCCGAAATCCCAGCCAGTAAGCCACATGGCAACATTATTTCTCATTCCGAACAGCCAAATAAAAGGAAAATTAGCAAAGGATATTATTCCTGTCCGATCCGACACGTAGCGCAACACCTGCTTAGTTGGCGTTTCGAAACTGTGGAGGTGATGAGTATGAACGCCTAGAAGCATTAGTGAGGAGGGAATTAGCCTACTAGAGATTTTCATCAATGATTCTATAGCCATGTATGCAGAACACAATGTTCATTATAAGAAACAGTGTAATTGTGAATGACTGGATGCGCGGTGGGATCGTGGCCCACCACACGTTTTGCGCACATCTGTATCCAAATGTCGCGGGAATGGTGACGTTGCGCTTGAACCACGATCCTGTTTCTGTCCAGATTCCGACAGAGTCAAAGGTGTGCTGTCTTCCATATAGTTGAGAAATTGCTAGATGGACCTTGTACGCGACGCCTACAAACACCACCGCAGTCCAGAATACCATTACTCCGATACTAAAGTTGCGTTAGCTAAGCCTCGTTGCTATTAGATCGTAAGAAGAATTACCCATAGAAGTAATGATGTCTCTGGGCATATTTGACGGCATCCTAGGAAAAGTTAATATTGCATAAGAAGAGACACAAGCGTCAACAGATGAGTCTACATACCAAGGTATCAAACCAGGAAATGAACCACTCAGGTGACGGGATCACCACCTCTGACGACGTGTTTCCAGCGTCAAACGAATCATTCTTGCCGACTTTCCTCAATCCGGCTATCTCTTCATGGGTGTAGTCTGTCTTAAATGCCGGGATGGGGCTCCCGAAAGAGGCATAACAAGTAGCATTGTGGTGTTGCAGCGCAGAGTTGCGCGTCTCTGCTCCACAATTCATATCGAGACATAGATACTCTGATGATAACGCGAGGCGGCTTTGGCACGCCTGTCGACGAGGTGATGCTGCGGGATCGACATCGTTGAATCGCGCAGACTTGAGAGAATTCTCGCAGCTCTTCACGCACAGTTTAGGTGAATCTTTGGGAGAAAGGGGTTGAGCGTGAGAGAGATGAGCAAGCAGCGATAAATAGAGGGTTGCTTGTGTGAAACGTCTCATCGCGCGACTTTCGATGCAGCATATTGGTGCCAGTAGGCGATATTGTGATGAACCTCCAAACCGGCCGTGATGCTGCGATATTTTAGGTCGTGGATCACAAGCCGAAAATTGGAAACATCAGCTGATTCGGTGCCTCTGCACTCCCTACGGCACACATTAATTCGCTCCGACCCATGATCAACTGATGGCTTATCTGATTGATAAGATCCACCGACAGCCGAAATTTGCTCAACAAATCACATCTCTGTTCCTGGTTGACAAAGGCTGGTGCTCGTATAAAGTCTAGCGTTCTTAGTAAGGCATGTAAGAGCCGGATCAGCCGATGTCGGCTATTGTTATAGAGGCCGGAGTCTCTCTGAGTTGACCGTGCTCAAGGTGCAGCTTACAGCCCTACTCCTTATTTCTATATATATTTCTTCGTTGCAGTTTAAACCTGACCCTTTCATACCCCTTTTTTATTTCCACATTTGAAGTATCAAGAAGCTTAACTGTTTTTCCGGCAACGCGGTGTTTGCCAAGCTACCGACTTCACTAGAAATATTCACCACGTCGCTGAAATTAGAATGACCTTTTCATTCCAACCGACGGAAGTTGAGTAGTTTCGCTGTTGAATTTGAAAATAGTGATTCTCTTGCGAGCAAAGTCATCTATCGGATGATTGACGGTCACGAAAAGGAGATGGCAAAGTAAATAAGCGCTTATCCGCACCGTATCCGCACCGTATCCCGGTTCGCATTCTCGTGTACGGAGTAATTTGGAAAGAAACGAATTGCTATGCGTAATTGCGATATCCGATAGCGTTGAAGACGATCTTTTGTTTAGAGCACCGTCTATTTATGAAAAGGGAATGACACGCTTGGTCAGCAGTGCATGTGCATGGCTTAGAGAGGTTACTGCATTGTGTTAGGTTATCTATGAAACAAAACGTTTCGCATAATTACAGTCATCTGCCACTAAAGTCTCGCTCAAATTACTTAAAATGGGACAACACAATTGCTATAAACATAGATATCTTCTGGGGGGATGATGCCACTGTAGTTGTCATAATAAAACAGTTGCCCCAAAAAGTGTTCTTTAAAGAGGGACTGGTCTCACTACTCAGCTTATATCTCACCTCTTCAGTTACGAAACTTGACCAAGTTAATATCCGCAATTTGACGGTTTCTCCGTTTCTCAAAACACAGCTAAGACGATTCTTCCCCAGGCCGAAGCTAGCACTGCTGCCGTCGGCAAGTAGCATTTCCCCACGATTGGCCCCTGTCGATTACCGGCGCAGCGAGATCAGTGCAACTGACCTACTTTCTGCATTTCAATTAGCATATGGTTTGCGAGGCATCCCAAAGCCGTAAACCTGATGCCATGAATGGCATGGCGTTTCCCTCGCTCACACCCGTCGGGTCTAATGAGACAACACCCTACGGGACGGTTAATTCCCCTCCACGATGCGACACGATGAAGAACTCAACGACTTCTCCAATGTCGTCGTGTTCATCTAGTAAACTATGCTACTATGGGGATCGCTGTTAGACGTTTAGGCTTCCAACCCCGCATTATCTGGGGATGGATATGGATCACGATGGTTCACAACGATGATGGGGTAACTCAATCGCAACTATTTAAGAAGGTGGGATGACCCATCGAGTTGTTCTAAGACACAACAGTTGTTTCAA